CATCCAACTTTGTTTACGATCAGCAAATTCCCTTCTACTCTCGCTCATCCCTAGGGTTGACCTTCTGCCAAATGCCCTCAACTGTAATTTTCTCCTCCCCTCTCTTGAGTGGGCTGCCCAAATTCTACCTTACGCTGTGGCTCTCTCTGGCTGGGGATTTCTGAAGCCAGGCAGCTGTATCCTAATCTCTCAAATCAGGTCAGATTGGGCTCTGCCCTCTGGTGGAGCCAGAGCCTCCCGGGTCTCCCTGAAACCTGCAGGTCAAGGGTTAGGCACCCGATACTGAGTATAACTCTGCCACTAACCGGCTGCAGACCTTTGGCAAATTGTATAATCTTTAAGTAAAACAGAGGATTAAATAATTCCTAAAATTGCTTTTAGTTCTGAAAGACTATAATTCTATGATTCTATAGCCAGGAAAAACAGAAATAATCAGAAAATCAGGAGCAGAAAAATTTTGAAATGCAACAGAATGAAAGATGATCACGAGCATTATAAGTTTATTTTAGGGCTTCGATGCAGAAGATAGAAGAGTAAGACTCCCCTCACACAAGCTGGTAGAGTAGAATTAGGTGATTGGAGACTAGTAATTATAGGATGAGATAATAAATGACTTAATAAAAATGGTTGACCATCACTCTGACCAGGGATGGATGAATGACACATCTCCAAATGCTGTGATCAAATATCTCTGAAACCAAATTCTAGCAGTGAGTAAGCTTTTCTTTCTTTATACTTTCAACAGCTTGAGAAGTATGGTCAGTTCTTTTAGGTTACTAGATCAATGGTTCTCAAAGCAGGGTCTACAAGTCTAGACTAGAGATCAGAGCATTTCAGTGAGGAGGGAAGGGTTGATGAGCAACAAGTCTAACTTTTTATGAAGTAGATGAGGAAAGTAAAGACAAGACTGGCTGAATGACTTGTCAAAGGTCACACAGAGGGGTGCCTGGGTGGCTCAGTCGTTAAGTGTCTGCCTTGGGCTCAGGTCATGATCCCAGGGTCCTGGGATCAAGCCCCGCGTCAGGCTCCCTGCTTCGTGGAAAGCCTGCTTCTCCCTCTCCCACTCTCCCAGCTTGTGTTTCCTCTCTCGCCGTGTCTCTCTCTGTCAAATAAATAAATAAAATCTTTTTTAAAAATTAAATAAATAAAAATAAAAAAATAAAAGATCACATAGAATGGTGGCTCACTCCCAGAATGTCTGAGTCGGTGTCTCATTGCCATATGTCCTCATCCATGAAACACTTCTAATCGGTCAGTATTAGGCTGGTCTCCATGCTCTTACTAAGGGCAAGGCCATGTTTGACTTCTGGCATCGATTCACACATTTCAGCCCTGATCTAAGCCTCTGGGACTGCATGTCAGCCTAGGTACATCATATACAAGGCCATCTTTATGGTGTTGGAGTCATTTTACCCCTCCAGGATGGGGTCCAACATGCACACCCCCTACCTCCCTGCTGTGGGTTCCAGCAGAACCTGCTATCATGTATCCCCTTTGCAATATTCTCTCATGAAAACAAATATAACATTTTTTTTAATCAGGTAGGAAGCATCTTCAAGACAAACAAGAATGTAATTCCTTGAATCTCAAGGTCTTGGATCTTGACACTTAATAAAAACCTCCCCAATCATCTAGAAGGTTTTTTTTGTTTTTATTTATTTTTTTTATTGTAACTCTACACCTTCCAGGTCTCTTGAGCTCTTTTGTAACCAATAGCATTCCAGAAGAATGAAAGTGATCCTTTGTCAATTCAAAAGTTTGAGAATTCCTAACCTAGGAATTTGGATTTAGAAGGACAGAAGGTCTGAGACCCTTGTTCTAGAGAATCTAAATGCACAGTTTAACTTGTGAGATCGTTCACAGGAAGGGGGAGTAGTAGAATCAGGAGATTCAATACCTCTTTGTTAGAAATCAGATTATCTGAATCTAAATATGTATTCCTTAATTTTCTAGCCATGGGAACGTGGGCAAATCATTTCACCTCTTCAAATCTCATTTAGATCATTGGTAAAAACAAGTTTGATGACAAATTTGATAACACATTTCAGTTATTATTATTATTATTGTTATTGTTATTAGCAGTTGCTGAGAAAGCAATGTCGCATAGCATTTGGGCTTGTGGGCTCTGAAATTACATTGCATACATTAAAACCCTGCCTCCATCCCATACTAATTAGGTGACTATGTGCAAGTCATTTTAACCCCAAGTCATAGGTGTTTCTTCTATAATGTAAGGTTGAAGGTTGTCATGAAGAATAAGTGAGAAAGAAAAGCAATGTATCCACAGAAAGTGCATGGCACAGTGCTTGGTGCATAGTAAGCATTTAAAAATATTAGTTATTGTGATTACTAATGGAAATGTAGCATGAGCAACAGCAGTGGTAATATTGCTTCATTATGGAGACAACTTGTAGTTTTTAACAGTGGAATATCTCCCCAAAAAATGTTTTTGGCAGAATGAATGTTTTCATCTTTGACTAGCGCTCATCACAAATACCCATCTTCTCTGAATGGTGCAAGGACCTTTGAAAGAACATTCTAGAGGAACTGAAAGAACATGTTATCTAGTAGTATTCTAGACAAGGAAACATTTTTCCCTCCTGAGCCGATCTGTGTGTTCTGACTTTATTAAAAATCTTTCTTGTGCCACTTTAATAGTCGGGACACTGATAAAAACAATAAAAACTCCTGCCAATAGTTCTAATATAACAATTTTCACTGGTCTAATATTATGAGTATTTTAAGTATTTACCTGCAGTCAATTGATTCTCAAGCAGCACTATTATATAATAGATGTGCACTGGATTTGAAGTTGAAACAAAACCAGATACATCGTATATTAACTGCCCCTCCATCTACCATCTTGGACAGAATACTGTGGCCCTGGACTATTGCTGATATTTATTTTTTATCTATTTCCTCATCTATGAAAATAGGAACCTTAGGAGCTGCCCTGCCTGTCTTCTGAGGTTGTTATTGGAGATCAGATGAGGGAAAACTCGGATTGAATTGTAATTGAAGTCCTGGTACAAATTTAATTTGTTCTTATTTCAAAATGTGAGCTCACTCACCCACACAAACACGAATTCTTGGGTTTTGTTTATACTCACTGAAAAACAACTTATTTGGTTAGTACATTTACCCCATCGTTGGGCCTGGATTTGGCTCTGGAAGAGGAAGGACAGGCAGTTGTGGAATATGCTCTCAGGTATTCAGATGCAGATCTATCTTCTCTGGGAACAAGGAGGCCTGCTCCTGCCCCAAGAGCTTTTCAAAGACGCCTTTAAGGAGTTTTACCAGGCCTTCTCTGAGCTGCGCTCCCGCCAAAACATATATTGACATGATAAACCACAATGGATTTAAGTGTTTAAAGTCAAAAATACACTGTTAAAAATAAGTACTTCAGTTGGCTGATGGAGCAATCATACCTGGGGGCTGAATTGAATTTGTTTAGCATAAACCACAGAGTAAACTTTTTCTGGACATTTTGCACGGAAGCAGGGAAAACTGAAGGCGAAAAACACAATTCCATGAAACGTTTCCTCATTGCTACATTATGGAACAATTGCAACTCATAGCAGAGTTACAAAGCTAAGCCAACAAACCCTGACATCTCTGTAAAAATGTTTAGGTTCAAATTAAAATTAAATATGCTTCCCGTGCCCCTGGCTCTGTCTGCTCACTTCTGTCTCACACTTGTCCCTGATGCCTCCTGTTCTCCCCTTTCTGATGTCCAGAAAATCTGCTACCAAAGAATCCCCCAAACTTGAAAAAAAAATTGCTGAAAACATCAGATGCCTATTTTTCACCTCTGTGTTCTGGGTTTGCCTGCCGGCGTTAAGAATGGAGGCATCCAGACTCTTCTTTTCCTTTGGTACACATAGTTCCTATTACATGTTCCAGTTGTCTCCATTGTTTTATTTATTTATTTTTTTAATTTTTTGGGGGGGGGTGGAGTTGGGGCTAGAAGTCTGCCTGCTTTGAGTCTTAGACCCATTACTTAGCCTCTTTGTGCCTCAGTTTCCTCATTTGTGACATGGGAATCTTTTTATTTATTATTTATTTAAATATTAACATATAATGTATTATTTGTTTCAGGGGTGCAGGTCCGTGATACATCAGTCTTACAAAACACCCAGCACTCACCACAACACAGTACCTTCCCCAATGTCAATCACCAAGCCACCCCATCCCTCCCACCCCCCTCCACTCCAGCATCCCTCAGTTCATCTCCTGAGATTAAGGGTCTCTTATGGTTTGTCTCCCTCTCTGGTTTCGTCTTGTTTCATTTTTTCCTCTCTTCCCTATGATTCTCTGCCTTATTTCTCAAATTCCACATATCAGTGAGAGCATAGGATAATTGTCTCCATTGTTTTAATTTGGCTGGAATATTGTGAAATATTTTGACTTGAGCAACTTCTTGTGTGGGTGGGATATCGCAGGTGTTCTGAAGGATACAGGTGATTTTGTCTCATTCATTCAGTTCATTCAGGGAAACAACTCTGCCTCCAGCATATTCTAATAAGGGATATATTATTTTATTATTTTGTGAGATTTCAAGCACCAGCTTGAAGCATCAGAAGAGAGAAGCTCTGTTTAAGTAGATAAGTAGTTCCAAGAACTCTTGCTCCTATAGTGTCCTCCAATTCAAAGACGTTCATACTGCAGGTGACCCTGAGAAGGTCTCACAATTTGCTACAAGGGCCCTTGCTCTTCCACTTCTCCTGAACTGGTTCTCTGGTGCAGGGGTGGGAATTGAAGAGAAGTGCCCCAGTATGGCCTGAATGTATAGCAGTAGATCAGAAGTTATCAAATTCTCCCTGGGGCTTACAGGGACCCTCCACATATTGAGATGTGGATTTATTAGGTTTGCTCTCCTCTGTCAGAGACACAGGTCCAACACACAATGTGTTAAGCCTAGCAGGGCCTCTGGCAGGCATGGACAGCATGTTTCCAAAAAGAGGGAAAAATGTTTCTTTCTCCTACCTGAGGAGGTCTCAATCTCCAATCTCAAATTAGTATCTTCATTATTTTATACCTGCCTACTGATCACAGTTCCAAGCTTGACTGTGAGTACACAGTGCAATGTCCTGAAGAAAAGTGAGAAACAGAGTTAATCATCTAGGTACTTGACAAGATGGCCATGGACAACTACTTGAATTTTTCACCTAGGATCTTAGGATGCCCTGTGGGAAGAGATTTTCTTCAGAGGTGTTTAGTATTCTATAGATTCAAAATTGAAAGTGTTTTTGAATTCAAAAACTTCATGCACAGTCTTTGCTTATTTTATTTTTTGAACTCCATGTTTTTTCTTTTTGATGTTGTGAAACAAAAATCCATTTTCCAGAATTTGACTCTAAACGAGAACAAAATTATACATTAATCAATATGAGTATCCAAAGAGCTTATAATGGGACAGCAATTTGATATGAATTTTTATGTATGACAACAGCACCTAGTCACCCCTTGTTGTTCATAGTTTTAAAGTTCGTTGCACTTACCCATGGTCCTGCCCCCACTGTTGTCCTTTGCTGCCTGGATCCTGGAAAGTGTTGACACTTTTCACTGGTGCGTTTTCATTTCCTCAATCAATATGATTTTCAAGTTCTTTATATGCCTATTCCTGCTCTCACCGGGACATTCGTATGACCTCTTTTACTTCCACATCCTAAAACCCAGGAGATGTTCATTAGAAAAGCAAAGTCACCCGTTTGGGTGGTGGCCTGAAGTACCACCAGGGAGGACTGAGCTCTGTTGCCCAGGGTCCTTGCCATACCCAATACATCCCCTGCCCGCCGACATCCCATTGCTCCTCCCTCTTCTTTTGCTTTCAGGGTCCTTTGGTTCACAGCACTTAGAACTTACTAATATGCTATCTGGTTCATTACTGTGTTTATTACTAGTGCTCTTTCTCTAATCAGATCAGTCCCGGGAGAGCAGGGGTATTTGCCTATTTTGTGCAGTAATAAATCTCATTTGCTTTAAATCTCTTTAAGGATAGTGTAATACCTATAGTACGAATTCAATAAATATTTGCTGTACAAATGAACAAATGCCAAAAGATAAGTACTTCTCTAACACTCAAGTCATGAAGACTTCCTTACTGACTGCTCAATCTTTTCCTTGCTTACTTTCCTCATCTCTGGGTGCTGAACTCTGGCAAAATTCTAAACTCTGTTCATGTCTTTCTTCTACAATCCCTGTGGCCCAGAACTTTGATCTAATCAAAACACACCCATTTCTTTGACCCATTCTGACCCATATTCTTCCAAGTGTCTTATGTTTCAAAATATAATTCATTCACTTGTGGTTATTCACCCCTTCTAAGCAAACCCATCCCATCATATGTTTTCTTGTTTAGGGATATATTCAGAACCTCAGAGCCATAAGCATTTCAGGAGAAAGGTCTCTATTCAGATTAACATAATGCTCTATCTTTGTAAATATGCTATTGTCTTCGTGAAGATTATTGAGTTGCCAAACCGTACAATCTTATGCATCTGACCTTTTCCCTTAGAGATACCCAGATAGTAAAATTACTATAGGTTGGCAATCACTCAGCACTAAAAAACTCTTACTCAAGAGTTCTAGTTGAGAATATGAGGAGTTCAACAACATGGAAGTAGATAGTGTTGATCTACTATTCCAGCAAATAAAAGACAAAGTATAAGATCCTTGATTTTCAAAATTTAAACCCCATTATTTGAATGGATTTTTTTTCTTACTTTTCCTTCTTTTGAAAAGGTAGGAATAGAGAATAAAAAATAAACTTTATTGGGGTTTCCTATGTTTCAGTCACTGTGCTAAAGCTTTTTACAGATATCATCTTATTCAATTCAACCACCTTCTGAGGTTGGTATTTTACATTGCAGAATTAGATACTTTTACAGTGAGCAGTTTGTCCAAGGCCCACGGCTTAGGATAGCTTAGGATAGTTAGAAAGAAGTGGGGGTATAAATCTAGCCAGTACAAAGCAAAGCATACACCTTCAACCACCAGCCACACACGTCCTATACTATACCTCATTTCCGCAGCTTTTCACATCTTCTCCCCACTCCCCCATACCAAAATTATAAATAAGGGATTTTTTAAAAGAGATAGAGGTAAGTAACCCTAACACTACTCCAAACACTCTTGTGCTAGATATTAGGGATCAAAAGGCTGTGAACCTTGGACTCTGTGGTTGACAGGACTACAGAAGAAATTAACCAGTCCGGGTTTTGTTGTCGTGTCGTCATTGTTCGGTTTTGTTTTCCCAAGAGGTAAAGAAATGTAGTCTATTGAGGTTGTGCAAGACATTCTTCAAAAGTGGGAATTATATACAGAAACTGTCAAGGGTTTGGAATGCTGTTCTACAAGATGACATATACATCTGAAATGAAAGAAACAGAGAGACAAGATGACACTCCAGTTGCCAAATATATGAACTATAAACTGAAAACACCCCCACCCCAATCCACAATTCTCCGAGTCTTTAAGGAGGCTATGTATGTGTCAGGAAGTTCTTCAGTACAACAAAATGACAAAATCAGCCTTTTTATCCTGGAAAAAAAAAATCCACTCTGCAAATCACCCGGACGTTTTGTGTTCTTCTCCCTTGCTATTTCACGACAAAGAGCACTGTCCTCTCTCACTAATGTCACATCTCACTATCACTTCAAGAGCAGAAACAGAGACAGGGTTGACAGGGCACACAGAATCAAACATTTTGAAAGAACTCTTTAGAGTCAATGAAAGGTTTGGTAGAGAATCCTCTATACAGTCAATGATGCTGATTAATTTGCAAATTTCCTCCTAGAGTATAAATTTTCTCATTCACTTTTACATCCCCTACAGAAGCCTTTTATTTGTGTGCAGACTCAATAAGTGCTAAATGGCAAAATGAATAGTAATCTGAATAATAGCCTCAGTCAGGGGCCGCAAAGAAACTGAAAGGCACTGAGGAAGCAGAGTCCATCCACCACAGGGAAAACGGGAGTGTGCGTGGGGGGCAGGCGACGTGATAACCGCGCTCAGTCGCAAGTTCCTTAAGCTATGAGGGGTCTCAGTCTCCCATCTGCAAGCCAAGGAGAACACCGATTTCACAGGGTTGGGGTGGGTTTTAAATCCGATTGTGTTTCTGGCAATACCTTGTAAACTGCCGGGTGCTGTGCAAGTGTGAAGGACCATAATGGTCTCTGCTTTTGCAATTCAGTGCAAGACGTGACTGATACAACCTATGTGTACAATGCAGGGACAAAATGATAGGCACCAACATATAATTGGGGACAGAATCGGAGTTGCGCAGAGTGCCAAGACACAGGGAAGGTGCAAAGAGGGGAAGCTGCGTGTGAGATTGGAGAGTGGCCTGGGGAATAGGAGTAGGGGGTACGGCTGACACACACGAAGATTTCAGGGTGTCAGAAGAGCAAGAGGTGGTCCCTAAAGGGAATGGAGGACAGTTTTCGAAGGGAAGGGAAAGGAGAGGGCTCTTGTTCATGGGTAGAGGGACAATCTAGCTGGTAGTCAGTTTTATTCATGCATGTCATGCCCTGAACGCTGATGGATAATATTTTCTTCTGAGTGACTTGGTAAATGTTTCCAGTTCTTTTTACAATCTCCCTCTTCCCAAATGAATTTTCTTGTTCTTGCTTATTGGAGACTTCAGGTGTATATGAAGCATCTAGGGTAGTGTATGGGCGTGAGTGAGAAAAAAAAAATTATAAGGAGAGAACATTCTGGGCCAAATTATATTGTGAAACTATAAAAGTGAAGGAGTGAAACAAAACAACAATCAATTTGGCTTTTCATCATTGCTTCAATTTGGCTTTCAAACAGATGGGAGTTTGGGGAGTTATTCTAGCGGGGATTTTGAGAGAGGGGATCAAGTTGAGAAGGTTATAGTAATTGAGATTATATAGCTTTGCCGAAATACACCAAGAATTAGCTAGGCTTTCACTTATTACAAATAAATTCAGTGTAGCTTTTTCTTTTTCTTTTTTTAAAAGATTGTATTTATTTATTTAATTGACAGAGAGAGAGAGACAGGGTGAGAGGGAACACAAGCAGGGGGAGTGGGAGAGGGAGAAGCAGGTTTCCCGCGGAGCAGGGAGCCCGATGCAGGGCTCGATCCCAGGAGCCGGGGATCATGACCTGAGCTGAAGGCAGTCGCTTAACCAACTGAGCCACCCAGATGCCCCCAGTGTAGCTATTTCTTATAAATGCATTTCAAATATTAATATCTACTTGCACAACACGTGTGAAATCTTCTTTGAGTTTCACAATGACCTGTAAGATAGGGCATTTTAAAAATACCTATTCATGGGGCACCTGGGTGGCTCAGTAGGTTAAGCATCTGCCTTCAGCTCAGGTCCTGATCCCCCGGTCCTGGTATCGAGTCCCAGGTTGGGCTCCTTGCTCGGGGAGTAGCCTGCTGCTCCCCCCTGCTTGTACTCTTTTTCTCTGACAAATAAATAAATGAAATCTTAAATATATATATATTCACAATAGGAAAGGCTCTAAAAGCTGAAGCAATTTACTGTACAGACAGTAAGTGCCAGAGCCAGAACTCAAACCCAGATATTTCGACTCCCGGCATAATGCTGTTTCCAATCATGTCGTGTTTTACTTCTGTGTACAAAGTGGGACTTTTTGGTGTAGGTTCTGACATTGGAAGCTTTATTTTCATCATCACTAATCTTTTCTTTTTTATTCTTCAGTGCTCGTTGCCATCCAGAGCCAGCGCCCTGCGCCCATGAAGTCACTCCCATATTTTCTCTGAGCCCCTCAGCAGGCCCGGCAGGTCCCCCCCTCCCCCCCCCCCCCACGCTCCCGCCCCACATCAAAGGTCCCTGCAAGCTGCCTTCTTTTCCCTCCTCCTGCCAATACTGGAGTAGGGCGCTGTGAAGTGGCCTTTGCTTTCTTTTCGTTTCTCCGGAGGGCTATCAGTGTCGGTGGAGGAATCGGAGGTGGTCCCAAGCCGATTTATTTGTGGACGCTAAACGTAGTGCTAGAAGAAACCGACAAATCGAGCCCCTGCACCTGGGTGACGTTGCTGGGTCGGCCGGTGATGGTTTTTGTAGACGGACAGCTTTTTAAATGTCGATGTACAGGCTTTCTGGGAAGAAAGCAGGTGCTGTGAAGCAGACGTCACGTTTCAGTGTGCGAGAGCTCCAGCCGGTTGGCAGGGGCAGAGCCCAGCACCCCGAGAGGCCTCGGCGGGCTCGCCGAGGCTGAAGGGGCGGGAGGCGGAGCTCACGCTGACCACTGCACGCTCGACCACCCATAGAAACCGCATCTTAAACCTGTCAGGAAAGCCGTTCCTGTGTTCGCCACTGAAAAGCAAACCAAACCCACCTCCTTGTATGTAGCTCCTTTTCAGAATAAAGCCTTTGACAGGCCACATTTCTCGTTTCCTTATTCCGCAAAATAAAAACAGACAGTGAGAAATTAAAAGAACGTCTAGGTGACTTTATTTGCCCAATGTCACCACGCCTGGTGACGTCCGCAGCTACCCAGGGAATACTCAGCGAGTGTCACCAGAGAGATGGGAGAGCAATGGAGAAGAGGGGACATTAATTCAGACTGGTGGTGCTAGCAAGGGGTAGTAGAGACAATCCATGTAAGCTGAACCTGAAAACAGGACTTAACTGCAGCACTTTTCAAGTTGCGAAAATTGGGTCTGTTCGGGCAATGGAGAAGGTGGCAGCAAGACACCCTGCAGGGACAGGATACGGTCGCACATTTCCACGTCGGCCTCCCTCACTGAGATGGAAGGTCCTTGAAGACACAGGCTTGGTCTTGTGTGTCCAAAAGCAGACCCATTCCCCACTTCCTCAAGCCTGCGCCCTTCACAGATGTCCCCAGATCTTAGAGGAACTTGTGAACCAAGGGAAGGAATTTGGACATGTGTCCTGAGGCAATGAATAGGTCTTGGAATTTTAAGCGGGAATTACTGTATTTGCATTTTGGAAAGACTCTCCAGGCTGCAGCATAGTGAAGGAATTGGGGTCAGGCAAGAATTTATGGAGGAAAACAGTTGAGACGGTTGCAGTGATCTAGGATCATTGTAAAACCCTGTCTCAGCACCTCCTGAATTATTCTTCTAAACACAAACTGGATTTGACCCTCTCCATCACAAAACACTTCATAGCTTTCCTTTAGATACAGAATTAGGTTTAAAGTCCCCTCATAATGTGAACCTACTCTACCTGTCTACTTTTCTTCCTTCATATACTCTGGTCTCTGTCAGTAAAGACTAATCCCTGATACCCCACATGCATGTGTCCCTTCATGTTTATTAAGGTATTTACCCTCTTAGAAGTTTGCTCTTGCTCCTACTGTGGTGCTCACTTCCTTCTCCCACACAGCATAGTGAAGTTCTTTGAGGACCAGATGGTAACTTATTCATGCATGCTCCTCCACAGCGTTTAGCCTAGCACTTTGCACGTTATAGGCACTTGGCAAATATTTGTTGAGCAGAATTGAACTGTAATAGCAGTACTTGTACTTGGATTCATTTAGTATTTATTGAGCACCAGAAACCATAAACAAAAAGATCGGTCCATTTAATTACATTAAAATGTAAATCACTGCACAGAAATTTTAAGAGACAAAACATACAGAATACAAATGACAAAGAGGTAGTTTCCTTATAATATCAAGAGTTCCCCAAATCATTCACATCAACAATCTAAAAAAAAAAAAAATGGGCAAAGGAAATAAGTACACCCATTCCATTTTTCATTCAACAATTGTAAGGATGAAAGGGTTTTAAAGTACCCAGTTGGGGGGCACATGGGTGGCACAGTCCGTTAACTGTCAGACTCTTGGTTTGGGCTGAGGGTCTTGAGATCCAGCCCCGTGCTGGGCTCCACACTCCGCCAGCGTGGAGTCTGCTTAAGTCTCTCCCCCTCTCCCTCTGCCCCTCCCTGCCTCTCTCTCTCAAATACATACATACATACATACATACATATTAAAAAAAAAAATTTAAGTACCAGTGGGACTGAGGCTGTGAGGAAAGAAACACTCACAGGCTTTGTTCATTAAAGTAGAAACTGGTATGTCCCTAATACTTACAATATTTAAAATGCAGGAGCCTTTAACTTAGAAATTCTATTCTTAGCAATGTATTATAGAGATGAAAACAGAACAGGCAAAGAGCCATACACAATAATGCTTGTTGCAACCTTGTCTCTAACAGCGAACCCATCAGTGGAAGGCTGGTTCAATGACAGTATAACTATACAAGGGAAAACTGCAGCCGTTGAAAGAAATGGAGAAAATCTATAATCACTGGTGGAGAATTATTCCCAATTATATCACTAAGTGAAAAAAGCTAAGTGCCTCCAGCTTATACACTATGCTGTTCCTTTTGTGGAAAACAAATATACAGATATCCTTTATATGCACAAGAACCTTGAAAACTTTTTGACATGGGCTGCTTCTGGGCGTATTTATTTACACTGTAGACCCTTTTGCATTATTTGGACTTTTGAACATTGCGTACCCTTTCTTGTGGTTTGAGCATGTTTTTCAATGGGTTCAATTTTAAAAGCCACCCCTCAGATACAATCAATTTGCAGTAGGAATGCCAAGACAGTTCAAACTATTCAACAGGAGAAAAGCATAGCCTTTTCAACCAAAGGTGCTGGGACCTGCACAGCTACATGCAAAAAAAAAAAAAAAAAAGATGTTGGATTCCTACCTCATACCACATACAAAAATGAACTCAAAATGGATCAAAGACCTAAATATAAGAGCTAAAACTACAAAACTCTTAGAAGAAACATAGATATAAGTCTTTTTGACCTTGAATTAGGCAATACTTTCTTAGATGTCACTGAAAGCAACAAAAGAAAAAATTGGACTTCATCAAAATTAAAAAATTTGTGTTCAAAGGACACCATTAAGTGAAAATACAACCCACAGAAGGGAAGAAAACATTCATAAACCTCTATCTGATAAATTTATTTATTTATATTTAATATATATAACGAACTCTCACAATTCAATAATAAAGATACACTACCCAACTTAAAAACAGACAAAGGATCTAAATGAACATTTCTCCAAGGAAGAGATGACTGGCCAATAAGCACATAAAAAGATGCTCAACATCACTAGCCTTCATGGAAATGCAAATCAAACCACATTGAGATACCAGCTCATACTCACTAGGATGACTGTAATCAAAGGCAGATAATAAGTGTTGAGAATGTGGAGAAATTGGAACTCTCATACATGGTAAAATAGTGCTGCTACTTTGGAAAGTAGTTTGTCAGTTCTCCCAAAGGTTGAACATAGTTACCATATGATCTAGCAATTCAACTCCTACGGATATATTCAAAAAGAAATGAATGACCACACAAAAACTTGTACACAAATGTTCAAGAAACAGCATAACCGGTAATAGCCCCTAAGTGGAAACAACCCAAATGCCCATCAACTGATGAGTGGATACATAAAATGTGGTAGATCCATGTAATGGAATGTCATTCAGCAACAAAAGGAATGAAGGACTGATACACGTAACGTGAATGAATCTTGAAAACATTAGGTCAAGCGAAAGAAGCCAGTCACAAAAGACCACATATTGTATGATTCCATCCATATAAATGACCGGAATAGGCCATTCTAGAGTCAGAAAATAGTTGCCTAAATGTTGGAGAGGTTGAGGAGAAAGGGAGGTGTTAAAAGGAAATGAATGTGTGCTTATGGTTTCTGGAGTGAAGAGTTCTAAAATCAATTGTGGTGATGGCTGCACAAGTTTGTCAATATACTAAAAACCATTGTATTGTACACGTTAAATGGATGATTTATATGGTATCTGAATTGTATCTCAATAAAGTTATTTTTTTTTAAAAAGAGCTAGGCCAAGACAAATAGCTCCCGGAAAAAATGTTGACACTGGTAGGTACATTTAAGGAGGTGATAGTGAAATTCCAAACCCTTCAACAGCATGCTTAAAATACTGAAATGCTTGTCACACAAGTAAGTATTAGTTTCTTGTCAGGTCCTATTTTAATCCATCATTTTTAGAGCAATCAATACAAATCAAGGAATTTCTCAAACAATCCATCTTTTATTCCAATAGAATCACATTTAACAATCAGGGTCATATGGTTTAAAAACATCTGACCTGGGTTTTGGACTAAGACCAATGAGATGGATAGTTTGTTGTCAGCAGCCTTTAAAATAATACTCTTGATCCAGCACCAGATAGAAAAGGGACAAAAGCTATTTGTTTTCATTGATTTTTTAGTATAAATTTTATTAAATAGTAGGTTCTAAAACTGTTCTGTAAATGAAATAAACTGGATTTTTAAAAGGTGGTGGGTATGGGAGCTGCCACACAACCCACCCCAATCAGCATACTGAATATTCTTGTGTTTATAGCATAAAATAAAGTGGAGCTCTAGTCCCATCCAGTGCATTCACCTGTGAACCTCCATACCCTTCCTTGCCCATCTCTTCCTGCGAACAGAAATGCCCCCTTTTAAGAGAATCACCCTTTTTTCCCATTACTGTGCTTAAAAAAAGAATACTATGCCTTTATATATGGATTTTAGTCACAGAATCCTTTAACTAAGGCCTTTCCCTAAAGAAAGAAAGGAAGAAAGAAAAGAACAGTTCTTTTGCAGGCCATTTATTTAAGACGACCCTCCTGCACCCCTGCCCAGTCAACGTACTACCCTTATTTAAGCAAAGATAAAAGGAATGAAGTGAGGACGGAGGTCTTACTTTAGACTGAGCCTGAGACTCGAGGCCCACCACACATTCACCCGGAACTTACCTTCCCAAGTCTCTGTTCTGCCACTCCACCAACCACCTTAAACTCCAGGTGGAACACTCTACAGACCACTTCTCCAAAGTTAGCTTGAGGTTTCTCCCCATCATACTGTTGCTCGCATCACCTCCCATCCTTGGAAATACCCCCTTCCTTCCACCGCCAGATGAAAAGTCCCATTCCTCCTATCACCTTTCCTAATGCCCCCTTACCTTTGGGAAGTCGTGTGAGCACAGCAGCATGGCACGGCCAGGACTGGCAGACTACCACCCTGGCACTGAGAGCAAACACACAGGATGCAAGGCTAACTTAATCGCCCCTTGTGGAATTCAAGATCGGTCTGGGTAAGGCCTGAAAGCGGTTAAGGGACTACAAGATTACAGTAATCTTCATTAACTGCTTCTAAATTAAATAAACAACTTTAATGCAAACAGTCAGTAAGGCATTTTTCCCATTGCCCCCAGGATCTCGTCTCTTTCTGCTGCTGTAGGCATAGAGGGCTTCACTCCATTCTGTCTTCTCTGGACCACGATAGAATTCTGCACGTAGGTATAAAAAGAAGAAGAAACCCGAATCAGTCATGTATTAAATGCTAATCATTTGCCAGTTATTGGCCACTACTTCCTCAAAAAGGAAATTCTAAAAACCATGTGTAAAGAGGAACCAAAAAACTAATTCTAGGACTTCAGACAATATTTTTCAAATTAACAATTAAATAGAAGTGATCATTCCCCTAGGACTATGTTGACGGTAATTGGGATGGGAATATATACTGTTTAAGGACAAGAGCACAAGAGTCCAGTCCATCAAGAGGATCGACTAAATAACTGCCACATGAAAGCAACAGTTAATTTAGAAGAGGGAAAGGAAATGGCTGGATGCAGTGCTCAGAAGCACAAATCATATACCAATGTCTCAAGAAAAATGGGACCATTTTAACAATGATGGGTGGCAGTGGGAAAGGAGAAGGCAGAAATGGAAGCCTAAAATGTGTTATGACAGAGCAAGCTCTCCATTCTGTTCATATCCAGGTGAACTAAAATTATAATAAGGTCATTGTTCTAGGGCTGCTCTTAAATATCCATAGGAAGATCCACCTATATGAGACCTGCGTTCTTCCAGCCCGGAGGAGGAGGCAGCCAGTAAGAGCCCTCAAGGATCCTTCAAGGCACGCAGAGAAGAGTCAAAAGTGTCCCCAGTCATCACTAAGAAGGGATTGTGGGTACTCACTAATTTGGGGCTTCAGTTTCAAGCCAAAGAGTGGAGTTTTAACACAAAGCTAACCAAGCTAGGCTTACCCAGAATTTCCGGCAGTTTTTGTACTTCAAGAAGTAAGTGGAACACCGTTCCCTGTCGTAGTTATTTTCATCCATACACCTGGTAGAAGCATCAGATTCCTTAAATATGTAAGAAAGGCATCATTTAAGAGGGTGGAATGGGATCCTAAACTTCTGAAGCCGCTTCCCCCCAAAGCAGGTAATATGAACTCGTTCCTTTCTGTTCATTTTAATGAGCATATAATGAACAGAAACTGAATTATCTTTCCAACCATCCCAGCACTCATTCTACTCAGGGCAGACATCTTCCTTTTCATAGTCTGGGTCAGTTTTCTGAATATCTGGTCACGGGAACTTGAGCCCAAGCACAGACTGAGATAATTTATCCTGGTAACCGTTTAACAAAGAAGCTGAGGCAAGGTGCAAGGTGCTGAAAATCACTCCTGCACAGGGAGAATTAAAACCGTCTCCTGACGCAGGGTGCAGCTGTCCTGCCTTTCCAAGTTCTCCCTTGGACCTGACTGATGTTAAGCTGGTTTCAAGATCCTAAGTAAGTCGCTAATAACTGGTCTACATCAAGGCAACTTAAATTAACACCACTCATCTCAATGTATTTTTGGCTATCATTCCCTCCACTACGCAAGTACATATACTATTATGTATGCAGTTTTAATAGATATCATTAGTATCACTTCAAAACCCAAGTGAGCAACACAGGGCTGTGAGTTCAAAGGAAGGTAGGAGCCATTTGGAAATTAAAATTAAGCTGTCTAAACTGGAAGTAGATTGGATAACAAACTTTAAAGTGAAAAGTAGGATTCTGAGACGTCATCTAAGGGAAAGCGTTAACTAAAGGGGTAGGTAATTTGCTTCACAGATCTAAGAAACACGGTCTATCTAAAGAGACTTAATAAAGCTGTTCAACACAGAGCTAATATATGTAGCAAAGCTAAATTTCTATGCCAAATATTTAACGAATGTGTATATTTGAAAAATGCATACAGGTTCAGGGAATGGCACCAGTCTGATGACTGCATTATTCCAGGGTGACAAGGCCACAAGTCAGTATGGCTAGTCATTCCAAATAAATGCCAATAAGACCTTATTATTACAACAAAACATTTTGTGTACATGACACCTTTGTGGAAAGCTTTAGGCTTTAAATAGGCAAATTCTATTATAGCCCCTTATTCACAGCAGGCTGTCTCAAGGACAGGATGAAATTATTGCTATTAAGACACAAATTTCAGTGGCAGTTGAAAAATAGGCTTTGCTACTTGCCACTTTTGGACTACAGATTTTCCTTGGTGTTACATACCCCTGTCTGGTGTTACAGTGGTTAGTAAATGCTTGCAAATTATACAAATGGAAACTTCAAAGGGATGGATCTTTGTTAGCTAAATTATGAATACCTAAAATTGTTTAGTGAAATAAAGATACACTGGCCAGGAATATTTTTTGTATAGAAATAACTTTATTCAAGAACTACAGAAAACAGATGCCCACAAAAATGGAACAAGCCTGTTTTACCAAGTTAACACTCATGAAAATTAAAAGCAAACCACCTTACCAACAAGCAAGGGTTTATGTCAGGATCTCTCAGCCTTCGTGCTACCATGGGCATCCTAACAGTTTTCTTACTGCAGGCAGATGTTGGAGAAAAGAGTTACACAGTGAATGACAGAAAATAAATCAATACATCTCATTAGACCCATGAGTACTTGAAAAATTAATTTTGTCGGGGTGCCTGGGTGGCTCAGCCGGTTAAGTGTCTGCCTTCGGCTCAGATCATGGTCTCAGGGTCCTGGGATTGAGCCCCACGTCGGGCTTCCTGTTCCACGGGAGCCTGCTTCTCCCTCTCCCACTCCCCCAGCTTGTGTTTCCTCTCTCGCTGTGTCTCTCTCTGTCAAATAAATAAAACATAAAATCTTAAAAAAAAAATTAATTTTGTCACAATGATTATCCCAGTAAGGAACTTCATATGTCCTCTGTTTTACGAGAATAAATATTTGGTTGGGTTTTTCCTTTGCATTGCCATAGTGCCTCAGCATGAGGGCCATATTTAAATTCATCCACTGAAATTTGATTATAATGTCCAGGAAGATTCTAGTTCAGTTATAGTTCAGTTTTAGTTTATCTTTATTTCTAAAGGTTAAGCTATTAAATATACTAAAAAAAAAAAAAAAAAACCCTAAGAATACAGCATGCATTCTTTTTAAAAAAATATATTTATGTATTTATTTGAGAGCGAGTACGTGCAAGCAAGGGAGAGGGGGGAGTATAGAGGCAGAGGGAGACAAGCAGACTCCCTGCTGAGTGGGGAGCCTGCTATGAGGCTCGATCCCAGGACCCTGAGATCATGACCTGAGCAGAAATCAAGTCAGATGCTTAACTGACTGAGCCAGCCAGGCGCCCCAAATACAGCATGCATTCTAAAGATTACTTCGTTATTATACATTTGATCATCATACAAAATAAGTGTGGAATAATTAGTACAACCCAACATTAGCAAAAACATTTGTTTACTAAACTTAACTGTGTACTCTGTAGCCAGCACCAGGGTGGTCAATATACTAAAAAAGTTATTGCTTAGTTGGCATTTTGAAAGCTAAAAAAGAAAAACTGAAACTTTACTTCCAGTGGCATCTTTATTTAACTGATACTTCCCTTGGTTAAAGGAAGTCACAGAATGCTACTGTGGTCCATTAATCTTCCAACTCAAGCCTTACACATGGAGCTCTGCAGAAGTCTTTACCGATTAAAGATGATCACAGTTCCCTAAGAGCCACCTAGTGACTCCAAGTCAAGTAGTGTGATTCACACACTACTCATATATGTCAACTATATTCCAGGACAACCGCTCTCTATAATAATGCAGTTCAACTGAAATTGGCATGCCTATTATCTTCGAAGACATGTCACAGAAAGGAAAAGAGAAAATTAAGAAAAACAATAATCAACGAACTGTTAATTATTTCAAAGTGATTTTTTCGTTTCAGTATATTGGTATGCTATTGATGAGCCACCCACAAACATTTTTAAATGCTCTGCACTAAGTTTAAGGGGCTGAGCTAACTTGTACTCTCGAATCCTGTTCTAGCTTAACCATCTTCCACCTAAAGATGGAAGGAGAAACAAGCAATAATGCAGTATGACCTACACCAACACCACCCAATAGAAGACTGCATCAGTCAGTATAACCCAAGAAAGGTCAGAATTTTTATATGAAGTGGTTTCTACTTTTCTTTCCCTAAGTGACACTGTCAAAAAATATCAGTCATGTTAAGAGAAATAAGGTACATTCAGGAAAATCAATCAAACCCCTAAGCTCCTAAAAAGTGGTGGTATTTGCAATCAAGAGTCACCCAGTTCAGAGACCAGGATGTCCAGGCTAAAAGAGATCAATCTTTGCAAACAAGGATGGGAGAAAAGTTTAGTCATTCCAGGATCCTTTAACTTTTAGGAATCCTCTAATCTGATTACCATTGAACACTACAGGAATATACCTAGCTAACAGAAGCATCTAGGTAAAAAAGAAATTAAAGTTGCTATTCAATTATATCTAGAAGCTTCTTCCTCTCCTGAACAGAATTCTTTTGCAGGCTTGACTTCTTACTAAGAGATGATGGTACTAAGTAAACTCACACCCTTCTTTTTGACATTCATTCTATGATGTAAGAATACAGAACTCTGCTTAGCTGTTCATATTCCTTAGACATATAATCTCAACAATGATCAGACATAGACAAAACTCTGGTTGTGTGCCTTACATGAAAGTGTACTTTCACTGCATTTTATTATCATCAGTCAAGAATTCTTTAAAAATAACATCTAGGTAACATCACATATATGCAAATCAGGTTTGGACCATGAATTTATTCAGATTTCATTTCCTTTCCCTTCCGGATTCTACATACAAGTCAATGCAAGTTTGGATTTCTAAATTACACCTTCTTTGCATGAATCCTCACGTATCAACTGGAAATGAAGAGGAAATGTCAATTTACAGTGAGGAGAGGGGCTAAAGGGAAGATCGAGTGTTCGGCTAGAGAGGACTTATCTGCTTACTTTCTGAAGCACTAAACAAATATTACAGAGCTCTACTTGCAAAGGACAGTCAGAAAGAAAACCAAAAATTTGAGGGATGGGCCTCAAAAGCACAGTACAGTTGAGGAATAACTCTAAAATCTTCTCCAAAAGGCAAACTGCTTTAAAAAGTATGTCTTGATTTCCTTCCCATCCAATTCACACCCCCACTCTCCAACTAGCTTTGAAAGGGAAGAGAAGAGAACGTTACTGAACACGTCCATGCCCACATGCTGGTCAGAGCTAAGGCAGGGTCTGTGGCTCTGATAAAACGCAAATGCAACTAGCAGGAAGCTGAAACACGTTATGCGAGAACCTAAAGCCCTTAACCCACTGCTGGGTGCAGAAAGGCAGGGTCAGGAAGTCGGCATGGTACAGCGGGGCGGGGCAGTCGAATGGAGAAACTGGAGATGTGAGTCCGCGGCCTTGCTGCCTCTCGGCGATGCTGTCCGTCTAATGGTGGACGACAGGCACAGGTGAACACACCTTGCTCTGACCTCCGATGGAGCCGAGTGGGGCAGGGGGAGAGGAAAACGCAAGAAATTGGGGGTGGGGGTTGGCAATTACGCCCCAAAGGCTGAGAAGCAGGGTGAAGGAAGAGCTAGGGGTGCCCAGGGAGGGCGAAGGTCACCTTCCTCGTCTCCTGCCCGAATAAAACCGGGTCGTGGAAAGGAGGAGCGACAGGAAAGGGCCTGCGCTGAGGCAGGGCCTGGTGGCAGCGGCTTCACGACGGAGGAGAGGGGATTCCGGCCCGCGGTGGCCCATCTGCACCCCTCTCTTCTCGCATCCCCGGAGCCGCCGCGGAAGGAGGGGCGGGGGACCACTCACCTCGGGCGACCGCTTCGCCAGCGCCCAGGCCGTCTCCAGCTCCAAACACGTCAATGGCTCACGCAGCTGGACCTTAAGTAGCGCGCATCCCAACGTGCTGCCCCCGCTCCCCGGCGGCCGCCAGCCCAATCAACGCGCGCCGCCGCCAGACTGACAGCCGTGCCGGGCCCTGCCGGGCGGGGGCGGGCGGGCCTCGCCCCGCCCCCAGCTGGCGGGAGGAGGGCCGAGGCGGGAGGAGTGGGCGGGGCCGAGCGTGCGGCCCCGCCCCTTTCCCCCGCCCCGCGCGCCCCCCCGCGCCGCGGCCCGCCTCTTAACACTTTGGTTTGACGGGCGGCGCCGCGGTCCAATCGGCGGGCCCGTCTCTGGCGGCGGCGGCGCCTAGTGGCCGGCCCCGGGGCGGAGCGCGCGCGGGGGGCGGGCACATCGGCGGGCGGGGACCAGGGGCGGGCCGGCGGGAGGCGGGGGCGGCGGCCGAGCAGGCCGGGGGAGGCGGCGGTGGGCGCGACGTCGGCGGCGGCGGCGGCGGCGGCAGCGGCAGCTGCAAGTTGGGCTGCAGGGGCAGCGCATACACTACAATGGCTGCTGGAAAGAGGCGTAAGGAAACAATTTCCAGGCCCGCCGCGTCCAGCCCGAAATATGAGAAAAAAATTATTAGAAATTCCGCGGGCGGTGTAAAGGCGGCGGACGGGCCGGAGGGAGGATGTTAAAGCCCCGCGGTGAGTTCTCCCGGGGTCCGGGGCGGCGGAGAGGCGTTTAGCGGGAGAAATATCAGGGTTATTTAAATTATGGGACTAGCCGAGGGGGCAGAGGAGCAGCAGCGGCGGCAGGAGGAGGAAAAGTTTGTGCTACTCTCAGCCCCAGCTCAGGACCCCAGAGAGAAAAATAATAATAAAAAATAAAATAAAATAATTAAGCGGGGGTGTGAGGACTCCCGAAGTCGCTTCTGACAGGGCAGGGGGCGATGCGGCTGGAGACCCAAAGGTGAGGTCGGTGGGAAAAAAAAAAAACCCTTTATTCAGGGTCTGGAAAGTTTGAAAAGTTTTCCTCCTCCTCCTCCTCCTCCTCTCTGGTGCTGTGAATATTGTGACAGCGGCAGCGGCAGCAGCGAGAGCGGAAGACATTAGAGACCCGAAAAATAAGGGAAAAATTAATATAAATTCAGTTTTGAGAGTAAACTCTCCGCATTTTCCACCAAAACATCCCGGGGGAAGGTCGCTTCCCAAAGGGCCTGGCGGAAACCCGCAGTCGGCAATATTTGGGGGGCACTTTGAGTGACTTGGGGTAACTTTGCCCCTTTTTCAAAAGAGGTTTTTCTTTTTTGGAGAATGAATTTGTTTTTGCCCTTTCCTCAGGTGGGCGAGTCGGGGTCGGGGTGCGGGGTCTGCGGGGAGGTGTGAGCCCTGGATGTGTGGCTGCGAGGGGGGGTAGGAGGAGGGGGTGCTAAATGAAAGCAGGAGATCTGCACAGAGCAGGGACAGCTTGTTGTCAGTATCATAAACAACCAAAATGGAGGGAGAACTCAGGCATATAACCAAATAAAAATTTTTTAAAAATCGCAAAAAATCCCTAAAAATCCGGGATGCTCCCCCTTTTCTCGCTAAAGGTAAAAGTATGAACCGCCTTTCCCCTGAAGTCCATTTTGACTTTGCAGGGACCAAGGAGTTAATATTTATTTATTTTTTAAAACTTTCGAAGGGCAAAAGCCTTTTATAACTCAACCGACAATGAGAAAACGTGAAAATCCGATGCAAGAGAAGGAGGGGGAGGGAGGGGGGAGGTGGTAGTGCAGAAACTGCTAAACTTATTGGTAATGTGGACTGATCTGAGATAAGATAAACACTATATTTGCTATTTTATAACTCTTTTAATGATCTTTGCGGGGTGGGTTTTTTTTTTTTTTGGTGGAAAAAAAAGTGATGCCATTTTCTTAATAGAGTTAATATGTGTGATTGGAAGAATAAACCTTTCCGGCTTTAGATTGCATTTTCGTCGCATTTATGTTTCAGGTTTTGTTAGTGGCTCCCTCCTTTCTTTAAACTGGGCTCTACAGAGGAGGGGTAGAGAGGTGATGTTGCACAGAGAGACTGGAGTGCAGGACTGGAGCACCTTTTGGGGAGGGGTGGGAGTTGCTTGGTTTCTCCCTTCCTGACCCGTTTGCTTCACCTGTTCGTCCTCAGTAAAGAATATTAAGCTGAAGTTTTCTGGTTTTACGTATATAAAAGGATGGTGCCTCTTGCATCACATTGAAGTTAATGGGAAAGTGCTGCTGATGTTGGTTCCACGTGGGATGTGGGACAGAGCAGGGCATTTTAAAGGGACAGCTTCTCTTTTCTTATGATTTTCATCACCTGCACAGAATCACTGTCTGAGGACCAAAGGCAGAGGTGCTGGAAGGGTGTGGTGGTGGAAGAGCCTTCTCTTTCCATTACTCAAGTGCACCCACCTTTAGGAGGGATAGAGGGAAAGGAGGGATAAACAGGCTCAACAGAAGATGGATATTGTGTAGATTAGTTTGTATCCAAGCTGTTCTTCTGTGTAACAAGCCTCCCAGGAACTTTTCATGTTACATTTCTTTGCTTTGGAAGCTGATTTTGGAAGGATTTGTGGAAAAATGGAAATAGTTTAAGGTGTGTGGTGTAATGGTATAGCATTATTGAACAGTTATGAATTCTGTGCAGCAAGATCAAAGAGCTGTGTATGCCCATAATGTGATTTTACAGCCATTTTGTAAAAGCTGTAAAATACCTAATATTCAATTTGGCTGAAGGTACATTGAGGACTTCTGGTTGAAAACTGCAGACAGAGTGGTGGAGATTCTTTTACACTGTAAGCAGTAGGCATTTCTTTAAGGGGAAAAAAAAGCACATACACCAACACCATGGAAAAGTTTACGTATACCCATTTTTAAAGCCCATCCTATACATGTGCTGTAACTCTGCTACTTTGAAATTAAAAGGTTTTAAAATCCTGAGACCTATCAGTTTGCATCTTTTAAGTTGAATTTATTTGTGTTATTTAACAGGAAATGTTTACTGATCATATACTACTGTTGACTCTGATGGTTGACATTTTCACAATATTTTCAAAATTTAAAATATGTCAGTTGTTAGCTGAATTCTATTTGAGATTAAGGTTCATCTCAAATAGAGTTTACTTGTGCTCCATTTTCCACAGGTATATGGAGTTTTGCAATAAATGCCTATTTTCCTTTGTTTTTTATGAGTTATAGAAATAGATTAAAATTAGAGCTGGATTTTTACACATCTTATACAGAATATTTTTACTTTCCATACTGTACAAACAGATTATTGTTTTGAAGCCCATTGTATGTTAACATGTGTTCACAACTGAGCTCCTATCTGCACCTTTCTGTAAATACCTCCCTAACAGCATTACATCGCTGTAGTGTTTGAGTACATCATCTTGTGGTTTCTGATTTTGGAAGCAATTACACCTTTCTAAGAACTCATTAAAAATTATTCCCATGAACCACTGTTAAATCAAAACTGATTGGGAAGTGATTAAACTATCAATGGGAAAGAGAAACTTCCCTTCCCCAAAATAATCATCTGTCCAGGGGTGTCAATGCCATTAATATTTATACAACCTTTGAAATTTCTTTTACATTTTTATTGTATTTTGGCTGAAGAAAGGTACATTACCTATAAGTAGTCAGAATTAGGCTCTGTGTTTAAAATAAATGAGACTTTTAGATCTTGAATAGTTGCCACTTTGACAGACTATATACTAATATCAAATAAATTCAGTTTCTGTAAAAGTGAAGGAAAAATATTTCTTCCAGTTACAGTAGACCATTGAGTTACTCAGTTTGTTTGGACACTTCAAGTTATGATTAGTTTATTGTCAACCTAAATAAAAGTGCTGGTGTTGTGATTTTTTTCCTCTCTCACAAAGGGTGGTATAAAAGTTTCTATGTATTTGGGTTTTACACAACTAGCTGCTTATCTGAATAAGAAATTGCACTGAGAGTGCACAAAGTATATAATCTTTAATTCCTTAGAGTCTTATTTAGATAGGGCACAGCATAATATCTAACTTGAATTGGTTGTATTGAGCTTTTTAAATGTCTCAGATATAATGTCTGTTGAACATACTTTTTCTGAAGCTACTACTAAATTATACCAATTTACAGAAATAATCCAAGGATATTGTATACTCAAAATCTTTGTTTCAGTTAGAGTTAGAGAAACCTCCTACTTTGAGATTCTTACTTGAAATTTATATGCCTAATTCTGCTGTTCGAAGTTCTATAAGGAGTTTAGCTGTTGTGGAAGATAATTTATAGATATGGGCTAGTTCTGAAAAAATTCCGTATCTGTATGTTTATTATAACCAAAATATTTTAATAAACAGACATCTTACAGCTAAATAAATTAGTGAATTTGCTTTTATCAATATAGTTTAAAATTTTTAAGGGTACTCTTTGTATTTTAATATCCTACAAAGGTGGGTTTTTTTCCCCTTCATTTTTAACATAATCCTGATTGTTGTTATACACATTTTGGTTGGTATTCTGGAAATTTTCCTTTCTAAGGATTAAATTGTTGTTTGCTAAATGAAATGTAATGCTCCTGTCTTTGATATTTGAAAAGCCAAATAACTGAAACATGTATCTATAGCCATCTTTTAAGTTTTGTTTCAATAATCATTTGCCCCTTGAGCTGTGTAATCAAAATATTGGTTCATTCTAGGAATGTTTTAATATTTTTTATTTAGAATTCTGTTCTTTGGAAAATTAAGATATACAAAAAATTACCTGTTACACACACATTTATATACACACACACACAAACCCAAGAAAAAAAGAAGTTTTGCTGAATGAGTTTACTTACACTGCCTGGAATACTCGTTCTTTTTGATGTGTTTCCAGATGTGTAGGGAATAAATATAAATTTTTTCTCTTTGTGTTGATAACATCTTAGATTCTTTAGTTATTTGAGTAAGGGAAGAGTTTCAGAAGAAGGAAAAAACAACTGAAGGTGTTCAACAAAATCCAAGATAGTGAATATGTTAAAGGTAAAAGGGCTATAAATTGTCCCTTGAGCCATGTTTTAAATGTTTTAAGAACCAGATAAACACCTTTCCTGAAACATCAAATACT